CATCAGTTGTTATTTCCCCTTTATCATTTGTGTTTGAGGTTACTAGAGATTTTACTTTTCTATTTCTAGTTAGTCTTTCCAAAGATTTATCTATTTTATTTATTTTTTCAAAAAACTAACTCCTTGTTTCATTAATTTTCTGAATGATTCTCTTGTTTTTAAGTTCATTAATCTCTGATTTAATTTTGGATTTTTTTTTCTTCTGCTGGGTTTAGGGTTAGGTTGTTCTTTTTCTAATTCTATAAGATGGCTTGTGAGTTTGTTGATGCATTCTCTTTCTATTTTTCGGATATAGGCATCTAAAGCAATAAATTTTCTTCTCAGGACTGCTTTTGCTGCATCCCACAGTTTTTGGTAGCTGTGTCTTCATTGTGGTTATGCTCAAGGAAGTTAATGATTTCCTCTTTTATTTCTTCCTGCACTCAACTCTCATTCAGCATAAGGTTGTTTAATTTCCATGCCTTCGTGTGGGGTTGAATGTTTTTGTTGGAGTTGAGTTCCACCTTTAATGCCTTGTGGTCTAAGAAAGTACAAGACAAAATTTTTTAATTCTTTTGATTCTGTTGAGGTTTTTTTTTGTGTGTGTGTACTAGCATATGATCAATTTTGGAGAATGTTCCATGGGCTGATGAGAAGAATGTATATTCTTTAGCTTTGGGATGAAATGTTCTATATACGTCTATCAAGCACAGTTGTTCTAGGGTCTCTTTAAGTCCCTTATATCTTTGTTTAAGTTCTGTTTAGAGCATCTATCCCGCTCTGTAAGAAGAGTATTAAAATCCCCTGTTATTATGGTGTTATAGGATATTATATCGCTCAGACTAATTAAGGTCTATTTCAAGAATCTGGGAGCATTTAAGTTGGACACATAAATATTTAGGATTGAAATGTCTTCTTGTTGTATTTTTCCCTTGACCAATATGAAGTGACCATCTTTGTCTTTTTTGACTTTAGTTGCTTTAAATCCACATATATCTGAAAATAAGATTGCAACCCCTCTTTTCTTCTGAATTCCATTGAGACACCATTTTTAAATGCTTACATTATTACTTAATCGTCATGAAATCTCTCAGAGGTGGATACCATTATTATTCTCATTTCACAGATGAGAAAACTAAAGCACAGAAAGGACTAAGTAACTGACCAAGATCCCACAGCTTTTAAGTGCCTGGACTGGGTTAGGAACCCAGATAAACTGGCCTCAGATTCCATACCCTGACTAGGTCCCCATACTTTCTCCCAGTTGTTGTGTTCCTATAGAACACAAGATTAGTTAGAATTGGGCATATTGGATGACCAGTTGAACATGGAGGTTGAGGAGGTCCAGGTTAGCTTTAAGTTTCCAACTAGAGTGACTTGGGTGCATGACAGTACCAGAAGGTAGACTGTGGTGTACCGAAGGAGAGTCAGTTAGAGTTAGAGAACAGTGATTCATTCACTTTAGTAACAGTGAGTTTGGGATACTTGTAGGATGTGACTAATTCTTTTCTATCAATATGAATTGATTATAAATAAAGTAGAGAGAAGATTTGTAAATAATGAAATTTCTTCATAATCAAATATTTCTGTCTTTTCTCATCACAACATTTTATCAGATTTTCTAGATTGCTCTGGTGATTTTATTGCTCCGGTGATTTTATTTATTTTTTTAATCTTTCCAAGGCTAGAATGCAGTGGCACCATCATAGCACTGCCACCTTAAAATCCTGGGCTCAAGCCTGCCTCAGCCTTTAAGTAGCTGGAACTATATATGCTCAGTTAAGTTTTTTTTTACACAGAGTCTTCTGTCACTTTGTGTAGAGTGTTGTGGCATCATAGCAGATAGCAACCTCAAACTCTTAGACTAAAGCAATTCTCTTGCCTTGGCCTCCCAAGTAGCTGCAACTATAGGCACATGCCACCAGGCCCAGCTAATTTTTCTGTTTTTAGTAGAGACAAGGTCTTGCTTTTGCTCGGGCTGGATTCAAACTCCTGAGCTCAAGAGATCCTCCTGCTTCATCCTCCCAGAGTGCTAGGATTATAAGAGAGAGCCACCACATTAAACCCCAACTAAATTTTTTAATTTTTATAGAGATGGAGTCTCAGACTCCTAGTTCAGCCTCCCAAATGAGGAGGCATGAACCGCTGCACCCAGCCCTAAGCAAGTGAAGGCACCTATTAGCCCCACCCAGCCCCCAGGTGTAATAACTTCCATTCTTAGTTGCTTTGACATTTGAAGTTACACTACTGGAGTAATACACTCTTAGTTAAGCATTGTTCTTCAAAGAAAACATTTCTCCCTCCCAGAGGATGCCTATCACAGTACAGAGTGAGTATATGTGAGATCCTAAAGTTTTTCATCTCGTTGTGAAATTGATTATTAGGTTGGTTTTCTCTAAACTCTCGGAGAAAAAAACTGTAGCATGAGTCTACTAGATCAGGGAAGTTGCTAAAAAGTGAGAAAATGAAACAAAACAGAGGCCTTATTTTAAATTTTTTTATTTGCTATTATTATTTATAGCTAACATTCATTGAGTACTCACTGCGTGTCAGATACTCTTTTAAGTGCTTCATAAGAAATACCTTGTTTAATTATCACACATCTCTGTGAGATGTCAGTATTCTATTTTGTAGATAAGAACACTGAGATATAGATAATACATAAATTACCTGAGGTTGCACAAAGTCATTGAGAAAGCAGATATACAAATCTAGGCAAACTATATATAATACATTCTTCATAATAACTGTTACATTCTTTTTTGTTAAACAGATTATATCACCCAGAGTCTAACTTGCTAAAGAAAGAAGGCATTAGAAATCTAGAAAAGCTTTGGCATTTTAAAACATGTAGTTAAGAATGAAAATTCAAAATGAAACCCAACACCTTACTAAAACTCCATAAATACCTTTCCACTGTCCCTGTGGTGATAATATGAAAGAAATTTGTATCTTGGTCTGGCACTTTATATATGCTTGTATTAAATAAGCAAACCCACTATATTTACAAGTGTCATGATTTCATAATAAACCAAAGATGTGGTGCCAGAGAAATACTTTTGAAGTATACATTTGCATGAAAATAAACCCAGTTCAACATTGAATTAAATAAAAATGAGTTTCTTGCGCTTTGGTAATGTGTATGTGGTACTGCTGTGTGTGTGGAATAAGTCATTGCCCCTTTCTCTGCCTTGTTTTCTCAACGTAACCAGTGAATTCTCAATTCTATTGTGGATTTTTTTATGGAAAGGAAGAAATGTGATTTGATACCTTGTCAGTCTGTGGTGCACCTATAGGGATGTTTTTTTACAACTTTAAAAAACTATATGGCAATGCCACATTTTACTTATTTGGAAAAATGAGACATTTTATGTACATTGTGAGTATGTAGACTGTGTTCCATGAAATTCCCTTCTCTTTGTCCAGAGTACTAACCACTGTCAGGCTCCCAAAGGCGCCTCTCAGTTCTTACGTACTAAATTTCAGTATTTCATCGTATTCTCTCAGCATTTTTTTCCCAGCACACCTAGTGTTTTCATATCCTGAGTTTCCCTCCACCATGATCCTTTTTCTGTATCTTACACTCTAGAAGCCATTTGTGTGCAGTCGCCTAGATAAATACATTTAGGGGAGAATGCCCAGGAGAGTCTTAATTATTCCATCCCAACTAAAATGAAGGAATAGACATTATTTGAAAATGTTCTTATTTCCGGCATAGTTTGGGGTTACATAGTTGTCATCATAAGGGAGGTTTAAGTTAATCATATGTTAGGATAAAATTACGTTACTATTTCTTTCTTCCACATAAATGTGTATATGTGTATTATCATCTTGTTCTGACTGCTTTTTAAAGAATTGTCCTATTGATAGGACAGCTTACATGGTTAGTATGTACATATTTACATTGCTGTTAAGTATTATCCTTTATAAACTGTGTTTTGTTTGTTTTTAATCAGCTATTCCCTCGACGGTGTACATGGTTATACGTAATGAACAATTGTTTGCTATCAATATCTGGTATGTATTTTATTTTTTAAATACCTTATGATTGTTGCTGTTTGTTATTAGTTTTTATGTGACATTTATTCTTCTCTACAGGTAAAGCTTCTCAGCTTTATTCCCATAACTTACCAGGGCTTTTTGATTATGCAAGACAAATGCAGAAGTTACCTGTTGCAATTCCAGCACACAAACTTCCTGACAGAATACTGCCAAGGTAAGGGCACATGACGCTTCTGTCCTGACATCCTATAGTGTGTTAGTAATACATTGTCGGGAATACTTCCACTACAGAAAATGAAAACACGTAGTTTGGGTTAAGAGAAATCATGTGTTCTTCAGAGAAGTTTCTCTTCAGGTCCCTTAAAAGCAAAGTATCTCAAGAATGGAAGAAAAAGTATCCAATGTACTCAGCCCTACTATGAAACTAATTTATAGCTTTCATAGGAAAGCAATAACCCAATTATAGCCCAAGAATATGGGAAAGGAGAGAGGGAGGGGAGGGGAGGGTGGAGGTTCGGTGGAGGGAGGGTGATTGGTGGGATCACGCCTATGGTTCATCTTACAAGGGTACATGTGAATCTTTCTAAATGTAGAATATAAATGTCTTAACACAGTAACTAAAAAAAAAAAAAAAATCTGTGTAATGAAAAAATTCTAAGTAATATATTTTAACAAATGTTTATTGATCACAGTTTTGTTCTAGAATTTTTCTACTTTCTACTTTGCAATTACATCAAACACTTTTCTCTTTGAAGTTTTAATTCTGTGTTTCTGTAGGGTAAAAAAACTAGTTTCTTTCTGTAATTTGCTGTAATTTTATACATAAAATGCTTTTGACAAATGGATTTGAGTTAACTATAACATTTATCTGAAAGAACAGTTTCTAAGCCTAGAAAATCAAAATGATTTATTGAATTTTTTGTATTAGGAGATAATTACTTAGAAATTGAGAGGTTTTCCTTTTCTACTTTCAAGAATTTTTTATTATGCTATCTTCTTCCTTTTGTTCATTATAATATTAGACCATATTTGTTGACTGAAAGATTTTTTTCTAAGTCTGGCATAAATTAAATTGTATTTTATAATATAGCCATTCCTTCTCTCTAATATTTGTTGTAAAGCAATTAATAAAAACGTTAGCTTTCAAATACCTTAAGAATCTGTTGTTCTCAATTGCCGAGTTTATATTATAGCCAAGATTTACTACTTTGTGCACAAAATCTTTTTAAAAATTAACCTTTTTAGGGCCAGGAGTGGTGGCTCATGCCTATAATCCCAGCACTTTGGGAGGCCAAGTTGGGTGTATCACCTGAGCTCATGAGTTTGAGACCAGCCTGAACTAAAGCAAGACCCAGTCTCTAAAAAATAGCCAGGCGTGACATAGCTCCTGTAGCTCAGCAGCTAGGGAGCCAGCCACATACACCAGAGCTGGCGGGTTCAAATCCATCCCAGGCCTGCCAAACAACAATGACAACTACAACCACAACAAGAAAAAAATAGCCAGGTGTTGTGGCAGGTGCCTGTAGTCCTAGCTACTTGGGAGGCTGAGGCAAGAGAATTGCTTAAGCCCAAGAGTTTGCTATGAGCTGTGTACAGCACTCTACTGGGGGTGACATAGTGAGACTCTGTCTCCAAAAAAAAAAAAAGATAGCCAGGCATTGTGGCAGGTTCCTATAATTCCAGCTACTTGGGAGGCTGAGGCAAGAGAACTGCTTGAGCCCAAGAGTTCGAGGTTGCTGTGAGCTATGTGCCAGAGCACTCTACTGGGGGCCACGAAAAAAAAAATTAACCTTGATGAAAATCATTAAAAAACTACTGCATGTTTTTTTCTGTTACCTTAAAATACAGATTATATTGAATTTAATTGAATCTTTTCATGATTACTTAGAATTGCAATTATGAACTTGATTTTTTTATGCTATAGAATATAGTTTGAGTTTAGGATGTGCCTCCTGTGACTAGTCTCAAGAACTGTGGTTGGGAGGTTTTTTATTCATCCCAGTGGTTTATCTGCCCCTGTTTTTTTTCCAGCTGCCATTTGTCTGCCTACCTACACCATCTTTCCATCAAAACTTCTAACTTGAAATCTTAAATTCCTGTGGACATAGAAACTGACTGTGTATATATATAAGGTGCATATAAAGTACCTCCAAGGAATATGAGGCACATAAACTAATGCAGTCATATTTTGATATCTTTTTATTATAATAGAAAGTTTTTTAGCTTATTTGTTTTTAGCTATGTTCAATTGTGCCAAATTTCACTGAATATACCAAATGCACATGAAGAGATGAGACAGACTTCAGTAAGATTTCTTCCCTGAGGGAGTCTTTTTACAGTATGATGCTATCACTCTAAAGAGATATTACTATTATTTATTTTTTTTTTTTTAGAGACAGAGTGTCCTTTGTTGCCCTCAGTAGAATGCTATGGGGTCACAGCTCACAGCAACCTCCAGCTCTTGGGCTTAGGCGATTCTCTTGCCTCAGCCTCCTGAGTAGCTGGGACTACAGGCTATTTTTTCTTGCAGTTTGGCCGGGGCCAGATTTGAACCCGCCACTCTCAGTATATAGGGCCAGCGCCCTACTCACTGAGCCACAGGCGCCACTTAGAATAGTCACTTTTTAGCCAAAAATATATCCATCCTCTTTCTTGAAATTCATTAACTAGTAATTAATTACTATAAAATCCACTCCCAACTCTCTTACTTATTGGCAGGATATCTAAAGACTCTATTAGAGGGGTATTTTATGTAAGAGTACCACTTCTGCTATACAGTGAACACAACTGACACATTCTTTGAGCATCTTGTTCTTATTCTGAAAATTGAGAGGCTTGTGGTTCTCATTCCTAAAGATAGGTACTCATACCGTATTAAAATTCTTTAGTAAAGCATAAGCTTTGGAATCTGAATAGACTTGAGTTTACATCATGGATCATTACAAGCTATGGGACCCTTGCGTAGATTACATAGCCTCTCTAAGCATATTCAGCTATACATGGAACCAGTGTGATCAGCTTGCAGAGTTGTTTTGAAAACAATAAATTATATAAAGTACCTACAATGACAAATTGAACTATGCCTATAGTGTACCCTACATTAAATACATTAAGAATGTTGGTTAACTTAGAATTCCAGTTAATTTTGGTGCTGGTGAAATAAGTTTTATTGCCTTTTGCAAACTTATGAGTAAAATTAAGGCAAGTGTGTAGAGCCCACAGCTTTACTTTCAAAATTTGATAAAAGTTAATTCTGGGTACAGTATACACTATCCTGGATGAAGGGCACACTTATAACTTTGACTCAGTCTGTATAGAAACTAAGTGTAAACAAAACATATGTACTCCCTAATCTTCTGAAATATTTTAAGAATAAAAATAAAACTGAAATAAATTCTCTTCTGCTGAAAAAAAAAAAGTTAATTCTAAGCCATAGTTGATTGTTCTTATCCAGGTATTAGTCCTCCTTATGGTCTTTCAGAACCAGCTGTTACTCCTCCTAGGTTTTGACCATTTCAGTAACTTAAACTCTAAGTTAGCTTTGGGAGCCAGGAGACAAGTGTATGAGTGTGGACTGGGACATTAAACTTTTTGCCAAGGAAAGTCTACCAAGAGCTTGGTTCACATTTGTTAACATTCTAAAAAGCGCATTGATTCAAACAGTTTGGCTAAGGGTGTTTAATTTTAAGATATGAGAAACTCCAATGTATATTAAAGGGGTATAGTAAAATTATAAGTCTAACTATACTTTAGAAAATTATAAATTAAAATGTAAAACTTTAATATAAAGTAGTCAAGGGAGAAATGAAAGATATAAACCAGAAATTTGAAGTCAGGATATTCTAGATTTCCATCATAGCCATTCAGTGCCTCAGCATCTAATAATTTTTATAGCATTGTTCAGATATCATAGTATCAAGAATATTTTGATTACAATTTTTAACATCTTACCTTGCAAACTCAAAACATATCTTCATTTAAATTTGCATGGAAGTATAAATGAGCAGTAATAGATTTTTCTCAAAGTTGAATCACCATGAACATTAGAATCAGATAGACTGACACTAGGGTTTTTTCCTCCCTAAATTGCTAACTGTAAGATCTTGAGTAAAAAAATCTAAGCCTCGGATTTCTGTGCTATGACTGCTTTGTAGTATTGCTCGTAGAACAAGACACAGAACATGTAAAATGCATGTCCCATAGTGAGGAATCTGTAAACGTTAAGTATAATTATTATAACTTTTTATAAATATACCAATATATAAAACATATTCAAGGTTAAAATTACAGTACCATAGTGTTATATATACTTGATTATTAACTCTGTTGTCAGTTGTATAGTGACAAGAACATCCACTAAGAAGATTCTTCTGAGCTTGTTTAGAATTATAGTGCATGTCCCCATGTGCTATAAAATGTGTATGCAAAATTGTACAGCTTTATTTAAAAAAAAAAAAAAAAAGACCAGTACAGAGCACTGACATCTAATCTTTGGCTCACTTATGTATTTAAAGGAAGTTTAAATAGGTGTACAGAAATGCAGACATTTGAGGTTCGCACAGCTTGATGCAATATCACTCTCCCTTATTTTAACTTTCATTATAAATGACATGTG